CCAAACTCAAATATTTGATTCAACAGACTTAATTCTACTCTCTGTCAAATTGCTAATGCTTCTTGTCAATTTCTGGACACAGGACACCATTCCACACTTTGAGTTTTGTAAGCTACAGGGAATAGGTGATTTCTGCTGGAACTTGCAATCTTAGATGGAAAGCATAAGCAAATTCATCAGAGCATGAACTCTGTAAATAGTGGCAAGGCTCATCTGTGTTAGTTTTTAGGAGTCAAAGGATAAAGCAGTGATAAAGACAAAGTTCCTTTTTACAGAGAGTGAGATAGGAATAGGAAATAAATATGAACACTAAGGAAGTATTCATGTTGTTGTTAAGTGCCATCAAGTTGGTTCCAACTCAGCATCGCTGCCGTGCCTGAACCCATTATTGCTGTCACTGTGTCAGTCTATCTCATTGACAGTGTTCCTCTTTTACAGTGACCCTCCATTTTACTAAGCTTTATGTCCTTCTCCAGAGACCATTCCTTCCTGACAACACATGCGAAGTATGAGAGTTTTCCCATTGTCCAAAGTTTCTCCATTGACAATACTCCTTCCAAAACAAATTTGTTCATTCTTCTGGTGGTTCCGGGTACTTTAAATATTCTTCACCAACGCCATAATTCACATGCATCTAATCTTCTCCGCTCTTCCTTATTCAAAGAGGTCTTTTGGCAGCAGATTGTTGTTGTTGTTGTTAGGTGCCATCGAGTTGGAACTGACTCATAGTGACCCCATGCACAGCAGAACAAAACAATGTCCGATCCTGGGCCAACCTCACTACCGCTGCCACACTTGACGCCATCAATGATGCCACCTGGCTGATCCATCTCTTTGGGGGTCTTCCTCTTTTTCTCTGACCCTCCTCCACTTTACACAGTATGACATCCTTCCCCAGCGACTGTTCTCTCCGGACAATGTGTCCAAAGTATGAGAGACGAAGCCTTGCCATCTTGGCCTCCAAAGAGCACTCTGTTGCATTTCTTCCAAAACAGATCTATTGGTTCTTTTGGCAGTCCATGGCACTTTCAGTATTCTCCTCCAACACCACAACTCAAAGGCATCAATTCTTCTACGATCTTCCTTATTCACTGTAAAGCTTTTGCATCCATATGAGGTTATTGAAAATACCATGACTTGGGTCAGGCGCACCTTAGTCCTCAAGCTGACATCTCTGCTCTTCAATACTTTTAAAAGTTCCTTTGCAGCAGATTTGCCCAATGCAATACGTCGGCTGATCTCTTGACTGCTGCTTCCGCGAGTGTTGATAGTTGATCCAAGAAGAATGAAGTCCTTGACAACCTCAATCTCTTCTCCATTGATATGCCATTTGGTTTCCATGAGCATTGATTGTGGATTCAAGTAAAATGAGATCCTTGACAACTTTAATCTTTTCTCCGCTTATCATAATGTTAGTTACTGGTCCAGTGGCAAAGATTTTTGTTTTCTTTATATTAAGGTGCAATCCCTATCGAAGGCTACAGTCTTTGATCTTCACTACTGAAGTACTCTTTCAAGCTCTCTTTGCTTCCAACAAGCAAGGATTTTTTTATCTGCATATTGTAAATTGTAGTCTCTTCCTCCAATCCTGATGCCATGTTCTTCATACAACCCAGTTTCTCGAATTATTTGCTCAGCACACACATTGAATAAGTATGGGAAAAGGATACAACCCTGACACGTTCTGATTTTAAATCATTCAGTAACCCCTTGTTCTGTTCTAACAACTGTCTCTTGGTCTATGTACAGTTTCTCATACCAATGTCACTATAGGTCGGAACCAACTTGACGGCACTTCACAACAACAACTACAACAACCATGTTATTCATAATTTTTTATGATCCACACAGTTGAATGCCTTTATCTAGTCGATAAAGCACAAGTAAACATCTTTCTAGTAGTCTATGCTTTCGTCCCGAATCCATCTGATGTCAGCAATGATATCCCTCATTTCATGTTCTTTTCTGAGTCAACTAATGTCTGGAGTGTGGGGGTTGCCTTTAAGATATGCCTATATGCCCAAAGCTGAGGGGCAAGGCTGCCTTGTCTGAAGGGGGACAGAAGAATGGAATCTCCTTGGACTGAGAGGGTGGGGTCACCACTAAGTCAAGGGATTAGAGTTGTCATCCCAGTAGGCTTGAAGTTGTCATTCCAGTAAGCAGAACTTAAGCCCAGGGTTGAAGAACTTCTACCCAGAATCCAGAGTACATGACCAACACCCTGGAATCATGGCCATTGCCTTTGTGGTCTCAGGAACAGGATTACTTTCAAGCCTTGAGAGCTAATGTAAATTGTTCTGCTGGATTTGTAACTTGCTTGGTGCCTGTTATCCTTTCTTTCTCTCTAATCACTGCCATTTGTAATGGAAATGGCTATCTTGTACCCTGTTGCCCATCATACTTTGGGTGCAGGTGAAGAGAATTTTTGCCCCAGCTGATACGGTAATGGGAGAAGAGAGGTATGGGGAATGGGAGAGGAATGGAACCACTTTGAATATGCTAGGTCAAAAAGCTTCCCGTAAGAAGTTGCATATAAACTCATATCCTAAATGCTAAGAAGTCAGGCATTCAAAGATTTTTCAGGAGTAATATTCTAGGCAGAGGATAAAGTAGGCAGTGAGGCCTGCTAAGAGCAACTTTGAAAGTCAGTTGATGAGGCCCGAGTTATCATTTGGATAGCATATCATTTGAGACTCGACAAAAGACCAATTAGAGGGATGTGGATAAGGAAAATGGTTTGCTACGTGCAACCCAAATATGACGTCAGTCACATGGGTTGCAACTGGAATACATTTGAGACCAGAACAACCGACGCCATCAAAGACCTTGTCTGTGCTGTGTTGTTGTTAAGTGCTGTCCAGTCAGTTCTGACCTATAGCAACTGTATATAGGGTTTCTGAGGAGCAGCTGGTGAGCTTGAACCACAGACCTTGTGGTTCAAGCTGACCTTGAAGTCTAGTGCATTAACTCAAAGTGTCACACCAGGACTCTCTATGCTGTGTAGAGAGGAGAAACAGAGGTCTGCTTTTCTGTAGGAAACAGATGGATGATGAGCTGGCGGAAGGATGACCTTGGAGAGAGGGGCCAGGGCTCCATGAAGAGGCAAGCATAAGGAAGGCTTTGAAGAACATTGTAAAATGCTCTCAGCAGTGGTTGGCAAGCAACTGGTGCCTAAAGCAGGACTAAGAAACTTCTAGGGTGGATTTTGTCACATTTAGCTCAATTGTTGTTAAGTGCTGTCAAGTCCTTCCAGCCATGGCGACCTTGTGGTTCAAACTGACCTTTTGGTCCAGTGCATTTTCCTGCAGCACCACACCACTACTCCATTAAGTGTTTTAAGACTATTAGGACCATGAGAACCTTTTTTTTTTTGGAAACTTTTTATTGTAATTGAGTGAAGGTTCACAGAGAAGATCATCCATTTTACATTTAATAAATCACACACTTTGTTTCGTCTCGATCACAAACCCATCCATTTAATGAAAGTTATCTCGCTTACTCCCCTTTGGTTCTTATTTCCATCCCATCCCTTCTCAACTTTGTCCTGAGGTGACTGTTTCCCATTGGATCTTGAAGAATGGTTGACCATTCCATAATGAGCATACCACAAGCGTTGGTGTCTCCTCAGTATACCTGTCTACTACTTAGCTGAATCTGGTAGTGTAGTGGTTAAGAATTGGGGTGCTAATCTCACGGTCAGCAGTTCGAAACTACCAGCTGTTCTGTGGGAGAAAGATGAGGCTTTCTGCTCTCGTACAGATTTACAGCCTTGGAAACCCTATACAGGGTCACTATGAGTGGGAACCTACTTCACGGCACTTTAACAGCAACTTAGCTGAATATAGGGTCATCAGAGTGAGTTCAGTTCTGCACCCAAAAGGGTGGCCCAGGGCCATAGTCTCGGCTCCCTCCAATCTGATTCCTCCCCATAATTCTGAGTTTTCTTTGTTCCTCATTTTCTCGCACTCTGTCTGGAACCTTCTTATGTGATCACATGATCCCTTTCAGAGTAGTTGGTAGTGGTAGCTGGTTACCCTCTAGTTCTTCTGGTATCATCTTGATACTTTTCAGTGATGAAAGGGTGAAGATGGCCCGGTGTGGTGTTTTAGAACTTTTCCCTCTGCATGTTGCATATTCTAACTTACTTTCCTTCTAGCTCTCTATCCAACCATTTCTTTGACTTAAATCGAATTTTAAAAAACATATGTTTTGAAGTGGCAGATATAGTAATCAACAGAGCAGACAAACTGTGTAGTCCCACCTCAGTGAAACCTGGAACTAAATGTCGAGTAGGTCAATCTTGGGGAAAGAGGGTAAGTATCTTGAGGTCACTCCTGGGGTCATACAGAGCATATTCTAAAAGGAAAAAAGGCGGCATACCTGTGAGCTTACATTTTTATTTTCTCGTTTTGTTTTTCACATTTAGAAACCAAGGGAGAATTTATATGTTTTGCACTATTCAAATAGTTTTAAAAGCTATTAAACCAGTTCTTCTTGTGATCAAGCTCGCCAACCTTATTCTGGATGAAAGGACTGTTTTAGTTGATTTAGACTCTATGCATATGACTTTTTTTGGGAGGGGGGTAACGTAAGAATACTATACTCGTAAAATCTTAGAGCTAAAATGACAGAAGATATATTTCTGTCCCTTTCCTTCTTCAACTGAAGAGGCAAGTGGGGCTCAGGAAGGTGACGTAACTGTAGTTGAGAGCTGAACCGAGATTGGAGCCAGAACTGTCTAGTTATTTTCATCTTAGTACTGTCTCCTTTCAGCACATGACAACTCCTTAATCCAGTTAAGTCTAAATGCCAAGCTAGCTTATAAAGTAGCATGTTTTCGTTTAATGTTAAATTTACAGGGGTAGACGTAAATCCCAGGTTAACATTCCTTTTTGTGTGATATATGTATGGTTTTTGATTATTTTGTCACTGAAACATTTCAAGGGACTAGTGAAATTGTTTATGTTTTGTATTTCACATATCGTATTCTTGGAATTTAGGTTTTCCTAGGACTTTAGTACAGGCTGAAGCCCTGGACGGAATCTGTGAGCTGGATCTAGTGGTCACTTTGAATATCCCCTTTGAAACACTCAAAGATCGTCTCAGCCGACGTTGGATTCACCCTCCTAGTGGAAGAGTATATAACCTGGACTTCAATCCACCTCATGTACATGTAAGACTATACAAAGTACTTTCATAAATTGACAAGAAAAAGGCAGACCATTTCAGTTGAACAATGAGTGAAAGATATGGGGAGATTATTCAAAAAGATCAAAGCTACCTGGCGATAAAACATTTTAAATGCTCAAATTCACTAGCAGTCAGGGATTGCAAGTAAACTTTTTGTTATTGTTGTTGTTACACCATCGAGTTGATTCCAACTCATACCAACCCTGTATAGGGCTTCCAAGGAATGGTTGGTGAACTTGAACCTCTGACCTTGCAGTTCAAGCTGACTTTGCAATCCAGTGCATTATCCTGCAGCAAAATTCTAGGAATCCTACATAAAGACAGATTATTGCTTTAGATCTTTTGGACAGTACAAAATAAAAACAATTATAATATCTATTACTGATAGAGACTTGGGGAAAATGGAACTCTCCTCTTTATTGAATAATTCGTTGTCGTTGTTGCTGTTACTGTCGTCGGTCCTGACTTATAGCGACCTGCATATTGGAAAAGCCAACCTTGCGATTTAAACCAACCTTGCAGTCCAGTGTTATAAAAGTGTCAATACATGAAGTCTTTACAGCACAATAGTAATGTACATTGATTATAAATATATTAAAGCCCACTTTGGGGTTATAGCCTATAGAAATGAAACATTGGTAGGTAAGGTAATCATGCTTACTTATTTCAATGGTGTCTGTTGCTATTGATAAGTACTCTCAGGCATGGATAGGGTTTCCAAGGAGCTGATAGTAGATTTGAACCACTGACCCTGTGATTAGCAGTCTAGTGCTTATCCTACAGCAGCACACTACGACTCCCTAAGTTATTGTTGTTGAATGCACTCGAGTCAGTTCTGACTCATAGCGACCCTGTATGTTTTCCAAAGTGCGACTGGTGAGTTAGAACCACCAATCATGTGGTTCAAACTGAACTTGAGGTCCAGTGCCTTATCCCATAGCATCACACCAGGTCTTCCTGGGCTGCGTATCAGGGTATGTCGTTGTTGTTAAGTGCTGGCGGGTCTGTTCCTACCCATGACAACTCCACATAGGGTTTGCAAGGAGTGGCTGCTGAGCTTGAACTGCCAACCTTGAGGTTCAAACTGACTTTTCAGTCCAGCTCATTAACCCACAGTATCACACCAGGACTCCAGCCATATAGGATATTGTTGTTGTTAAATGCTGTCAAGTTGGTGCGGAGTCATAGCAACCCTGTATAGAGTTTCCAAGAAGCAGGTGGTGAGCTTGAACTGCCAACCTTGTGATTCATAGCAACCTTGCAGTCCAGTGCATTAACCTGCAGTGCCACACCAGGATTCCTTATAGGGTATGTTGTTGTTGTTGTTGGGTGCCATCGAGTCGGTACTGACTCATAGCAACCCTATGCACAGCAGAACAAAACACTGCCCAATCCTGAGCCAACCTCACTGCTGTTGCCACACTTGAGTCCATCTATGCTGCCACTTGGCCAATCCATCTCTTTGGGGGTCTTCCTCTCTTTCTCTAACCCTCCACCTTACCAAACATGATACCCTTCTCCAGCAACTGGTCCCTCCTGACAATATGTCCAAAGTATGAGAGGCAAAGTTTGGCCATCTTGGCCTCCAAGGAGCGCTCTGGCTGCACTTCTTCCAAAACGGATCTATTGATTCTTTTGGCAGCCCACGGCACTTTCAGTATTCTCCTCCAACACCATAACTCAAAAGCATCAATTCTTCTCCAGTCTTCCTTATTCACTCTCCAGCTTTTGCATGCATATGAGGTTATTGAAAATACCATGACTTGGGTCAAGCGCACCTTGGTCCTCAAGCTGACATCTTTGCTCTTCAACACTTTAGAAAGGTCTTGTGTAGCAGATTTGCCTAATGCAATACGTTGTTTGATTTCTTGAATGCTGCTTCCTTGAGTGTTGATAGTTGATCCAAGAAGAATGAAGTCCTTGACAACTTCAATCTTTATAGGGTTGTTGTTAAGTGCCGTCGAGTCATTTCTGACCCATAGTGACCCTGTACAGGGTTTCCGAGGCTGTAAATCTTTACGGGAGTAGAAAGCATCATCTTTCTCCCGTGGAGCGGCTGGTAGTTTCGAACCGCTGACCTTAAGGTTCACAGCCCAATTCGTAACCACTACGCTACCAGAGCTCCTTTATAGGGTAGAGGGTAGTTAAATAAACTAGAGAATATCCACATGGTGAAATCTAGAGTCAGTAAAAAGAATGAATTAGTACTTTACTCTTTGATCTAGAGAAATATTTCCTCTAGGTTTATTGTTGAATGAGAAAAAAAAATTTGCAAAAACATCCCACTTTTGTAAAACCAATACCACCCTGTTTGTGTATGTATAGTTGCTCTCTAGCTTTATAAGAACAGGGATAAGAGAGGAAGGGCTGGTAATTGGTTAGAACTGGGACTGAATTACTCAATGGAGTCAGAGACAATTGAGAGAAATTATGGGACTGGGGAGGCAAAAGAAATAAAAAGGTAAGCCTTAAAAAGAAGTGAAAAATGTAACCTCTAATATGTAATACAAATAAAAGGGAGATGTTTAAAGAAACTTTTAAAACTAAGTTCATTCTTTTTTTTTTTTTCTTTCCATTTTCTTTTCTTTAATGTTTTATTGTGAATTATGTGATAGTTTACATGGGAGAACATTAATT